GGTTTAGGGGCAAGTCTTCTCGTTTCGTAAATTAAAAAAGGCACGACTCATTGCCTTCACCTTTAAAAGCAGCAGCTATCACGGTGCTGCGTAGGTGCAGAATCGAAACATCGCCAGGTGCTTCAGCACTTCTTGCATCATCGATGCAAAAGCCAATCGGGTTGACAGCGTTGAACAACAAGCTGACTGTACCGCCGAAAAATTGTTTCCAGTTGTATCCTGAGAATTAGTCATGTTTTCACAGTTTCTCTAGTTTGAACACAAAACACCATCATTGAACATGCATGACTTGCCAGCACTTGCTAGTTCTCCCCGCCAGGGCAATGACGTTTTCGGTGCTCCCCTGAAAAGTTGAGAGGGACGTGGGATGCAGGCCGCACCATACGTGCTGGTCGACGCTCGCTCAATCACTCCCCCATACACTCACTCACTCACTTACTTGCTCACTCACTCCTTCACTCACTCACTCGTGCCAGAAAAAGTTCCCTAACTCTGCCTTTGGCTATTTGCATCTCGAACATTGCATGAGCCCTATGTAATCCATGGGGTTACACGGGTGACCCTAAATTTCAAAAACCAAAAAGACCCTGCAGAACCTACGAGTTTGTTGGCGGTGTGGTCTTTGAGTCTACATGTTTTGTACGGTACTATTAAGCTATATTAAATCCTAAATTCTGAACTAAAGCCCTGAACCCCCTGAGCTCAAGGCCTTGGGATTGCTCCACGTGAGCGCCATGGCAGGGAGTCATTCGCGGGTAGAAAGTGCACACGACCTCGCGACTGATCTGCGGTTTATCGGGTAAGGGGGGGAATCCTTCATGAGTACATATGACATATTATGTACTTAGCATTTTGGGCTTACACAGGTGTTCAGGGTTTCGATTTTTGGGTGCGGGGTTTTGTTTGGATGGGGGCCTTGCCTTTTGGATCCTGTTGGGCTGTGGTGGGGCCTGGACGGCTTGGAGTTTCGTGGATCGTCTCAGCAACCACGTGACACCCCGAAGCCCCAAACCTTTAAACCCCAAAACCCCATACCGTGGCTTCAAGCCAGGGAGCATGTAAAAATGAGTGCAGGTGACCGAGGGCGAAGACATTGACGTTTGGATGGCGGGCTTCAAGTCTGGGAAGATCGTGCTGTCACAGCGCCCAGGTGCTTTGTGAAAACCGAGTAGTTTCGGTTCGCTGCAGGGCTCGGTGCAGAAACATAACAAGGAAGTTGCTGACACTAAATAGTGAGATGACTGTGTAGATCTGTGTGGCCAGCAGCTTAGGTGGCAAGTCCAGTCGAAATCTGCTTCCTTTTGCCGCGGCTTCACCAGAACAGTGGCAAGCTGGTGTGGTCAAAGCAACTGCCCGGTACGGAGCTTTCGTCACTGTCTCGCTCGATGCCAACACCGCAGATGGCCTCGTCCCAATTCAGGATACGTTAAACGTGCATATTTTGTCGTTAACTCTTCTAGGCCAGAATCCAATCCCAACCCCCCCCCAACGGATTCGCGTAGATTGGCATCTCAACAATTTAGTCTTGGACCTCCCGGCCTGCAGGAAATCAGCAATGACTTCATCCGAAGCGTCGACGATGTGCTGAAGCCAGGCCAGGAAAAGGGCCATGTTTGTAGGCTATAATGCTATAATAGGGTTACTATAGTAGTTAATTGCTATAAGAGATTGTACAAGGCTGACATATAGTGTAATTGCTACACGACTATACGGCCATATAAGATTCTAGAAGGGTTCCACGTAGCTTAGGGTGAATTTCTTGACTGTAAGTTTCGGCCCGTCGGGCGTTTGGGGGTGGAGTCAGGGACAGCCTTTCGTGACGAGTGGAGTGTTTATGAAAGCGTAGAGTTCAGGGGTTCGCTTTTTGCTCTAGGATGGGAGGGGGCACTCGCTTTGGTTGAATAGCGACAACTAGCCGTGATGCCCAGAATGCGAGTCATTGCACGAACGCAAAATCGCAGGCCTAAACCCTGTATACGCCCGATCCCAGTCAAGCTTTGAACCAGGGTACTGATTCTAGTCTCCTGTCAAGCGGTCTCAAAATTAAAGGGAATCGACCCCTAGTCTCGAGAGCCACCACGCAGTCCGCGAATATGGCGGCTGTTCGGCTGTTCGGGATCTTCGGCTCATGGGGTTCAGGGCTCGGGTTTGGGGATGTCTGTGGCTCTCGGGATTACGGAGGACAGACCCTGACCCTTAATTCCTACACCAGAAAGCGGAACGTCCTGCCAGGGCAGAAGGTCTCGGTGAGGATCTTGTCTGTGGATGTGGTCGCTGGGAAGATGATGCTCACCATGAAAGGCGAGAAGAAGGCCGCCGACTACAATGTGACGGCATTCGTCGATGTTCCGCCTCAGACCTGGATGTCCGGTAAGGTCGCAGCTTTTCCGGCGCTTTATTCAGGCAAATCATATAGTTGGGCCGTTCAGTTTCAGGTTGCATTCGCGAACTCGGGTGTCAAGACCTCGTTTCGTTCGGCGACGTGCCTGCCAAGATGAAACAGCAACAGTGTGCAAAAAGGCACCCTACCCATAGGCCCCATAGTAGTTCCTTTTTGGGGTTACCTTATAGGATTCTATATATGAACCCAAAAAGGAACTACTATGGGGCTCTTATGGGTACAGCCTAAGGTACATGTCACTGATACCGGCGCATTCGTCCGCCTGGAGCATGCTGGCTCTACTGCAGATGGCCTCTTGGCTGCTGCGATGCCAAACCTCTGGGCTAGGTCAGCGCCTGGGGATTTACGGCTTATCAGGGTCAGTGTTTCGACTTTGGCAACAAGGCCTAGTAATTCTCATTAACACTCAAGTCAAGACTTAATAGGTCGCAGACCGCAAACCACGACGCATATCGTTCAAGATTAAACCCTAAACCTAAACCCTAAACCCTAAACCCGAAGCTCCATAAAACAGAGACACTACCACACGCCCTGCTGTAAAAGCTGAGCCCGAGATCCCAGAGCCTCCTGGCCGTTCTGGGGCTTGGAGAATTTATAAGGTCTACGAGCGGAGGCAACCCTTGAACGTATCGCTCAGCTATCAAGTCTCTCAACGATCAAATCTCTCAACTATCAAATCCTAGACCATTTAAACTAGTTTAAACTCGTAAGACGTCAAGTTTCAATCCTCTTCTCGATCCACAGCCGGCGCTGTCTGGACAGCAGAAGAAGAGATTGAGTTGCCAGGCAGGTTCATGTTCAGGCTTTGGGAGTTTACGGTTGGAGGTTCTTCACGTGAGTTCGGCCACGTAATCTTATTTGGCCGTCAGGTGTCAGGCTAGGTACGGGCTTACTACCCTGGTTGGAGCTTCTTTCCTTCGTGCGGAGAAACCAAAACTTGGCGACTTCTGTCAACGCCTCCAACATCTAACACCGAAACCCAGAACCCTAACCCCCCCAGATACCTACTATATAGGGTACGAGAGCCTCTAGGGAACCTTTTTAGTACCTGGGGGGGTTAGGGTAAGTTCGGTGATGCACCGTCCAGGGGCGATCCTGCATTGCTAAGCAAGGATTCTGGAACCCGGGCCCCCAGCCCCGGCCCAACACTGCACAATTCAGTCTTGAGCCTTCCTCCCATTTTCAAACCCCAAAACCCGACACGCCAGCCCTAAACGACAAAATCGCACGCCCTAGCCCTAAGCCCTACAAGCCCTAGACCCTAAACCCCAAAGCAGAGGATAATTGCCCTAAAAGCCATAAGCCCCAAAAGCCATGAACCCTAAATTCCCAAAACAGAGGATACCTCCTAAACCTTAACCCCCCCCAAAAAAAAACAGGATACCTCCATGCCCATAGACCCCAATCTCTAAGCCAAACAGAGAATACCTCCATGCCCCTAAACCCCAGTCCCTGAACCCCAAAACAGAGGATACCTCCATGCGAGCCAGTTTGGGGATCGTAGCAGCGCAGCGGCCTCGGGAGTTGTGTCTCCGGGAGTTCTCCCGAAAGTTACGCGGGGCTGTTCTCGAAATCAGGGTTTAGGGTCCCTCATAAACGGGATCTATAAGGGTTTCTACAAGGGGTGCTGCAAGGGTTCCATATGGGTAGTTCTCTGAATTAGGTTTTATGTCACCAACATAATATGGCACCCTTATATAACAAGGACACCAGAAAGGGGCCCTAGTTGAGAGAACTCCCCACGTGTCCGTTTCAGGGAGGTTCCGAAGTTCGTGTAGGATTTTAAGGGTTTGTGCCTGTAGGCCGTTTAAGGTGCTGTAGGAACCCTAAGCCCTAAACCCTAAACCCTAAACCCTAAACCGTGGGTTTAGCGCTCAGGTCTTAGGGTTCGGGCTTCAGGCTTGAAGGATCCTCAAAGGGCGATTCATTTGGGAGTTTTCGAAAATAAGGGACCTTATTATGGGCTCCTTAGAATAAGGATCCTACTATTTAGGGTGCTACAGTAGGGTCCCCTATTTTAGGAAACCCCACATGGTGCTTTCAGCTACTATTGGATGGCGGTTTGAGTATGGTCTTATTGTGTCATTCTCCTGGTTTGGGGTGTTCAACAGCGTCATTATACAAGGACGTGTAGAAAATGCCATGACGTATGCTATGGCTGGGATCTCGTTGTAAGGACGTGCCTTCCCAATGGTTCCTCTTGCAAGCCATGGGAAGTTCAACTCCATATTGTTACATTGTTATACGATACCCATTAAGAACATAATCCTTCATAAATCAGTGCACATACAACTACACATACAACTACACATACATACATACATACAT